ATTATGTCAGAGGCAGTCCCTCTTCCCATTACTAGGTAACCCACTTCGACACTGACCTGCCATGGGCTACATCTGTGCAGAGGTTCTAGGTTATCTCCATGAATAGTCCTTGGTTGGAGTATGAGTCTCTGGGAAGTTCCCTGTGTTCAAATTTTCTTGTTCTGTTGCTCTCCTTGTGGAGTTCCTGTCCTCTCCAGCTCTTACTATTTCCCACTTCTTACATAAAATTCCATTCACTCTGCCCGACAGTTGGCCAGCAGGCTCAGCATCTGCTTTGATAGTCTGCAGGGCAGAGGCTTTCAGAGGCCCTCTATGGCAGGTTCCTAGGTTGTTTCCTGTTTTCTTCTTCTGGCTTTCAGAGGCCCTCTGTAGCAGGTTTCTAGGTTGTTTCCTGTTTTCTTCTTCTTCTGATGTCCATCCTCTTTGCCTTTTAGGTGGGGATTGAACATTTTAGTTAGGGTCCTCTCTCTTGCTTGGTTTCTTTAGATGCATAGATTTTAGTGGGTTTGTCCTACGTTGTATGTCTATATGAGTGGATACAATGACAGCAGTGCTAAGAGGAAAGTTCATAGCACTAAGTGCCTTCAAGAAGAAATTCGAGACAGCTCATTCAAGCAACTTAATGGCTCACTTAAAAACCCTAGAAAAAGAAGAAGCAGACACACCAAGAAGGAGTAGACGACTGGAAATAATCAAACTCAGGGCTGAAATCAATCAATTGGAAACAAATAAAACAATTCAAAGAATCATTGAAACCAAGAGCTGGTTCTTTGAGAAAATCAACAAGATCGACAAACCCTTAGCCAAGCTAACTAAAAGGCAGAGAGACACCACCCAAATCAACAAAATCAGAAATGAAATGGGGGACATAACTACAGACACTGAGGAAATCCAAACAATCATTAAGACTTACTTCAAAAGTCTATATGCCACAAAATTTGAAAATCTAAATGAAATGGACAATTTTCTTGATCGATTTGACTTACCAAAGCTGAACCAGGACCAGGTAAATCAACTAAATAGTCCTATATCCCCCAAAGAAATAGAAGTGGTCATCAAAAGTCTCCCATCCAAAAAAAAAAGCCCAGGACCAGATGGCTTCAGTGCAGAATTTGACCAGACCTTCAAAGAAGAGCTAACACCAATTCTCTTCAAACTATTCCACAAAATAGAAACAGAAGGAACATTACCAAACTCATTGTATGAAGCCACAGTCACCTTGGTACCTAAACCTCACAAAGACTCAACAAAGAAAGAGAATTTCAGGCCAATCTCATAAGGAACATGGATGTAAAAATACTTAACAAAAAACTTGCAAACCAAATCCAAGAACACATCAAAGATATTATTCACTATGACCAAGTAGGCTTCATCCCAGGTATGCAGGGGTGGTTCAACATACGGAAATCCATCAATGTGATCCACCATATTAACAAACTGAAAGAAAAAAACCACATGATAAGCTCCCTAGATGCTGAAAAAGCATCTGACAAAATCTGACATCCATTCATGCTTAAAGTATTGGAGAGATCAGGGATACAAGGCATATATCTAAACATAGTAAAGGTGATATACAGCAAGCCTATAGCCAACATCAAACTAAATGGAGAGAAACTTAAAGCAATCCCACTAAAATCAGGGACAAGACAAGGCTGCCCACTCTCCCCATATCTCTTCAACATAGTGCTGGAAGTCCTTGCTAGAGCAATAAGACAGTTGAAGGAGATCAAGGGGATACAGATGGGAAAGGAAGAAGTCAAATTATCACTATTTGTAGATGATATGATAGTATATGTGAATGACCCCAAAAACTCCACCAGGGAACTCCTACAGCTGATAAACACCTTCAGCAAAGTGGCCGGATACAAAATTAACTCAAAAAAATCAATAGCCCTCCTGTATACAAAAGACAAAAGGGCTGAGAAAGAAATTAGGGAAACAACACCCTTCACAATAGCCACAAACTATATATAAGGTACCTCGGAGTAACCCTAACCAAGGAAGTCAAAGACTTGTATGAAAAAAGAACAATTTTAAGTTAAGAAAAAATTCACTCTTCATAGTAAAGCCAGGGACTTTTTGAGGTTGGCAAGCAAGAACAATACCTCAGTTAGCACTAGCTGACATGACTCTCTCACTGAAGCTGGACTTCAAAATGATTAATTCCTTATACCCATTTTTGCCCTCAGCTTTCTGATATGATTTAATAAAAATTATTATTGAGTAGATGCTCACTTTGAGGGTTTAAAGCAGAAATGGCTGATTGTTTTTTATATAAAATTAAGATTTTTTTTATTCTTTTAAGAGTTTTACAAGATCACCTTTTAAGATAATTGATTCTTTCTTTGTAACCGCAAATTGCAGCCTGCCAGTAAACAAAGAAACAAAACAAAACAAAAACAACTGGCTGAAAAATTACCTTGCTTGCTCATACTTTGTTAGCCTATAACAAATTGCTTAATTACAAATGTATATGGGTTTGGGGGAATAATTTGATTTCCGTATTTGTTTCTCACCCGTAATGCATAAAACACTTGATCATGTGAGGGTATTTGGGAGCATGTTTTTCTTACGTATATTCATTGTAATAATGCACTTAAAGAAAATTAGAATGTAACCACATTGTGATTTTCCTACTGCTTGAAAGATCTTGGTATATATAAGCTGTGGGAAGAAAAATAAAGTTTTTCAACTCACTCTTTGGAGTTCGTTCCATCCACTAAATGTATATATGTGTGTGTGTGTAAAGTAGGTGGTTGGTTTTGAATGTTTATATATATGTATGTAAGGTTGAGTTGGAGTCCATTTCCATCTACTCAGTATATGTGTGTGTGTGTGTGTGTGTATGTATACATGTGTAAAGTACATACCTAAAGTACATAAAGAAGCTTGTAATAAGAAGCTTGTTGGAGCTTATCTGCTGAAGTCTGTCTTACTTCATCAAATGTAAGGGTGTGCCAGGCCAGGAAGCTGCCAGCATCTTCCCTCTCACCAGCAATTTAGTACTGGCCCCTCATCCTGCCACTATCAGTGGAAGCCATAGTTGGTAACTATGAGTTCTGGCCTGGAAAGTTATCCTCAGAGAAAGTCTGCTGGGTGATCAGCCAGCCAGATTTATGCCCCACTTCAGTTTCCCCTGTTGATGTCAAAGCTGGTCTTAGATATCATTGCTTATATCTGATTCATGTTCCATCATGCCTGTGCACCACATTTCCTCAGCGAGGAATTAGATTCTGGGTACTTAGTTGCTTCTGTATCTTGGCAGTTGGGAACAGTGCTGCAGTACACATGAGAGTGCAAATGTCTCTTTGACTGGTTGACTTTATTTCCTTTGGATATAATTCTAATAGTGTAATTGATTGTTGGTAATTGATTGCTCATATTGTGGTTTATTAAATGGTGTAGAGGCCTCTTGCTATTTCCTGTAATGGCTGTGCTAATTTGCATTCCTACCAGCTATGTGTTCCCTTTACCCCCATCCTTGACAGATGGTATCCCTTTTGTCTTTGTGTTAACAGTTGCTCTTACTTCATAGAAATGCACTATAGCTTATTTTGGCTTTGCCTTGCTCTTTTCCTGGCTCTTAGCCATGCTGAACTTGTTTTGTTTACTTGTTGGCCGTTTCTTTGCTTTCCTTTCAGAAGGATCATTTAGGTTGTTTTCCTACTTGCTAATCAGGTTATTGTTGTTTTTGCAGTTGAGTTTTGGGATCCCTTTTTATATTGTCGGTATTAGCCTCTTGTGAGATAGCTTACTTGCTAATTCTTCCTCCCAGTGTGTTGACTGTCTTTGCTGCTCTGTTGCTTGCCTCCTTTGCCATGGAACAGATGCTTTTGGTTTGATGTAATTGTATTTGGTTCCTTCTGCTTTGGTTTCCTGTACCTCTGGGAGCCTGTCACAAAATATTCATACTGTTCTGGTGTCCCGAAGCACCTCTCATTCCTTGTAATATGCTAGTTTTATTGTTTTAGCTTACATATAAGTCTGTCATCGGTTTATTGACAGCTTTTGTCACTACATAGGGATAAAGATCTTCATTCTGCATATGGATTTCAAGTTCCTTATAGCACTTGTGGGAAAAGACTTTTTCTCCAGAGAAAGCTTAAAATTGCATTTGAGAAAATCTCTTGACTGTGGAAGTAAAGGGTTACTCTGAGGGTTTGTATAGTTATTGGGGCAATCATAGTTCTGCTTTTAGGCTGATGTTATGCTATGGTCACTCTAGCTTTTGCTTTGTCTTCAATGGAGAACTTACTTTGTATCATAATTGAGAAACTGGCAGTGCTTTCTGGTATGTGACATGAGTTTGTTTTTATGCTCTCTGGTGCCTATTTCTACTTGTTTGATGAAAGCTTATTTTTTTAGCATTTACTTTTCATACACTATTCACATGGCAGTATGGATATATTTTTGCTCTTTATCTTTTTATTATCAGATTATATCCCCCCACTTAGTGTTTTGTTTTGTTTTTTAACTTGGCCTGTTTTTTACTCCTTGCACTGAGGCTTATCCAGCGGTGTGAAGCTGGGAAACTGCTTAGTGAAGCTCTGTTTGATAGTTTTCCCAAGGTTTTGGTACAAATCCTTGTGTTTTCATGGAGGACTTCTAGTTACCAACATGTTGAGGATGGACCATGGTATTGGCTCACCTCTGAGAAGCCAGACTGAATCATGCTAGCTTACTACTGTCAATAGCTTACAGTCATGTTATCTGAATCAGGGACAGTTCCATATCTAGTGTTATGCTTATATTGTAGTCACGATCATGACTGAAGATTTAAAAGTTATAGGTGTACAGCATTCCTTTTTTGCTAAGTATGAAATTAAGATGCAAATCACTTTTATTTTTCAGTTGGGTGCAAAGCTTTGGACATGAGGGACTCGGATTACTGTTGGACATTTTGGAAAAACTTATTAATGAGCAAATGTAAGTATTGATAATTTTTAGTTAATTCTGTTAGTATGTGAAACTTTAATCTGAACTATTTTATTTTAATTCAGCCAAGAAAACATTGTAAAGAAGAATCAGCACAAAGTTATCCAGTGTCTGAAAGCCCTGATGAACACACAGGTATGCAGATAAAATTGGTCACCACAGATTCTTACATGAGCTAGAGCATCAGCATTGAGGACTGCTTGCATGTCATGGGATGATTTGGTTTAATTCCAGTTTTGATAGGTGAACAGGCTTACTCCTGAAGCATGGACCTTCCTCAGGAGATGGACTTGCTTTTCTTTTCTCTTCACTTTAACCCTTCTTTTCTCCCTGTTTTGATTTTTCAAAAACTCATTAGGATCTAAGCCTTAATATACTCCACAATTACTAACTATAGTTTGTTGTAATATGTTACCAGAGACTCAAGTAGTGAAGACATTTTATATCTTGAGAATTAAAACCTAGGATGAAGTTAATATATACAAGTATGAGAAGATTCTAGAAATGCTGTAGTGATACACTTGAGTCAGCATAAATGGTACATCTGTAGTATTTGTCTAGTGAAGTTGAATTAAACAGTAGACTTAAGACGTTCACTGTCTAGTCTACCCCCATTTTGATGGTTGTTGATATCATTTCATGCTGTTTCTTTAGCTCTGAATGTAAGCTCATGTACCTCACGATGTTAGATGTAATGATAGGTATGCCAGCTGCTTTTGGGCATCAGGGGAGCACAGGTTACCTATGGGTGTTGTTGTGTGTAATGTCTGTCATATAGAAAAACTGTTCATTTTTTGGCTAATTTTAATGTAGCTTATTTTGCCTTTTTCTTTAAAAGCAACAATCAAAGGGTTAAATCATTACTGTTTAATTATAACATCATTTGCATTTTCTAATTATTTATGTTTTATGTAACAGCATTCTGTAGAGTTTTCTATTTATTTTTTGCTTGTGTGTGTCCGTACACCTGTAACGCAGTGTAAGTGCAGAGATCAGAAGACAGACATGGAGATTGGTTCTGTTCTTTTACAATGTTGGTTCTGGAAACTCAACCCAGGTCGTCAGGCTTGGTGACAAATGTCCTTATCTGCTGAGTCTTCCTGACAGTCTTGCATTTTTAATGCTCAGAATGTTTCTTTTCTGCCCACTCCAGGACTGGGAATTCCTGATGAGTAAGACCTGTAGCTTTTTTTTTTTTTTTTGAGAATTAAGCTTTGTTTTCTGAAGTAGGTTATTTGTATGTTCGTCTTGAAGAGTAAGCCACCAGCTTTGTCATAGAGTAAGGATGAGAAACTCCTTGTTGAAATTCCTTCAAAGCATGCAAGTTGAGCTGCTTATAAGAGACCATTAAAGTCAGGACATAAAGGGGAATTTTGCTGGTAATGTGAGGCTCATAGGAGAGTAAATGCCTCCTTCAACTCAAAGGTCTGTACATGACCAGATTTCAATGTGAAGACTGATGTTTAAAATGAATTAGTATGTAGAAAAGAACATCTCTACTTGGTTTTAGTCAGAATGTGAGGCTATCATATATTTATACTCTTAGGCGATCTGGTATTTTATAGTAGATTTCATTTCTTATAGTTTATGTAGAGTCATAAAATACTGCATTTCATTTTGGTAGTGACACTTAGCCTAACAAGAACACAAAGTTCAGTTGCTGCTACTTCGGATTAATATTTAAATGTCTAGATTATAAAATACAAAATTGATAGTCAGATTGCCAACTCAAGGTAGGTAGTTCTCCTAAACTTCATTTAATCAGTGGTACAGGTGCTACATTTCCAGTCATCACTGCGAAATCTTCACTGAATTTTACTGAGTGATGAAAGTACCATCTTTAACTTACTTAGTACCAACAATTAAGTATGTCATTAATATGTTCAACTGTGACGTCATTGAAAATCATTTTTTACATATTAAATGGAGATAAAATATTTTTAAATGGTTCTTATAAAATACTGAGGCAATCAAAGAAAGTCTTCATTTTTATCAGCTGTTTGTAGGTTGAACTATGTTCCCATTAGCAAGGAACTCTTGCTGTTAAAGTCCTCCCCATATTCATATTTTTCTTCAATGTTGGGATATACCCACCACTGACTATTGTTTATATAGCAGTAGTTATGTGGTATTGTTGTTGGATGTCTTTTCATGGGTGAGAGTATTTACCTTCCCTTACATAACCACCTCATCTTCAGTAGCCTGGAATTCTTTTAGGTAACAATAGGTCTCCTTTGGAATGCAAATAGAACCCAGCATAGGTGCTGGGTATAGAACAGACCAGTTATCATATTACCCTAAGTGGGTCCTTGGCATTCAGGAAAGACCTTCCCAAATTGGTGTTAGTGCTTTCACTTGTGAAAGCCTTCATTAAAGCACTTTGATGCTAGCACTGGTAAGTGAACTATTTCTTACAGTCAATTTCTTTCTTTTTTTAAGTCCTTGCATACCTAATTTTATTGAATTATATAGCAGTTCCCTGCTCAGTATTAGGTAGAGAAAAGTGGCCTCATTCTAGTCTCAAAATGAGCACCATCTTTATTTTTTTTTAATTGAGAAAATTAGAATACATGCCATTGTTGTCACTGAGTGATGGTCAAAGCATGAGATCAGAATACTCATCTTCCAGCCTTCCTGCACAGTAGTTAGAACCAGGGGGTTGGAAGGAAAAGGTAGGAAGTCTGCCTCCAGCACATTGTGGATCTTCTTGAGCCTTAAGGAGCCCTCTGGTTCTGAATCTGGAAGGCAGGCACTGCAGGCAGGATTTACTTTCCCCAGCCCACCACTTTGGTGAGACAGAGCGTGCTGTTTGGTACTTGGTAATCTTTGACTTTCTGAGTTAGGTCCAAATGGAGCTTTCTATGCTGCTAACAATTTTCTGTGATACTGCCAGGGCACAGCGTGGGCTTTTAGCTCTATGTCGGTTTTTAAAGCCTCTGCTTCTAGTTATAAAATAGTTCAGAACATCAGAAGAGCAAGCCTTTCCTGACAGTTTCATTGTTGGTAAGCTTTCTCCCAATAGGAACGAGAAGGGAAACTTCCCACTGCAATATCTGTGGTCTTGGCACCTCTGCTTGCCCTTCCTCTGTCACACCTCTGCACCTTAGTGTTTCCCAGTAAGTGTAGTATTTCAGCACAATGTCAAGTTTTGTTTCTTTTTTACATAAATGTCTATATATGATAATAAGGTTATAAATACAATTTTATAATAAAGCATTTAGGTTTAAGCTTGTTAGAGTTTTGTTTTTGATACTTACATTTATTGCCAATTTTCAGCTGTAATGGATAGGTATGTACTTGGGATTAAGGCCCCTGTATTCATTTATAGTAGTGACTTGATCCTCAAGTATTATACTCCTTGCAACGTTCTACAGAAGTATTATTTGGTGTCTTCTATTCTATGTATTTTTATACTGATGCAGATTCTTGGTATAACAAGAGATCATACTTCTTTAAAATAATATGCCTTTACCCTAACTACTTATTTTCTAATTGGATGTGATATTGTTTGGCAAAAGCAAATGAACTTTATCTTTCCCTAAGTCATTGTATATATGTTTATTTACAACAGTAGAGATTTCCTGATAATAAATGTTATTGTGCTTAGGATATGTATTTTTACTATGGCACTTTTTACACAGTTCCTTTCCAAACAGTTCTTTTCCTCTGTGCATTTACACACTGTTCACATCTGTACCTGTACTGTCCTGTGGTAGCCACTTGTTTTTGAACACTTGAAATATGCTAAGTCTGAATTCAGATGTGGTGCAGTTATAAAATACCAGTGGATTTCAATCTCTGGAAAGTAAAATGTAAAATGTTCTTCATTGCTTTCATGCTGGAATAATGACAGTGTAATACACTGGGTTAACTGTATCTAAAATTGTTTGACTTATTTTATGGAAATCACATGATTATGCTGTGGTTCACCTTATCTTTCTTCTGAACAGTGCTTATGTGTATGTTTGCTTGTAGCTGGTTCATTAACTCTCTTTCTCAAAAAAAAAAAAAGTTACAGTTGGCCTTCTGTCATCAGTATCTGTTTTAATATTTGTCAGTCTCTTTTTGTACATCACTTGAGAATTTCTCATTCCTCCATAGTTTTTTTGTTTGTTTTGTATTTGGTAGGTTCTTGTAGCTCTCAACATAAAGTTAGGATTTACCAAATTTTTAGAGTGTTACACGATCTTCATATTTGTCTTTTTTAGAGGTAAAAATAGAACTTTTAAACATATATATACAATATTTCAGAATAACTCCTAACAATTGACTCATTTTTTAATGTTATAGTATGGTTTAGAAAGAATTATGAGTGAAGAGAGGAGCCTTTCCTTGTTGGCAAAAGCCATGGATCCCAAGCAGCCCACTATGATGGCAGATGTGGTGAAGCTTCTGTCTGCAGTGTGCATTGTTGGGGAGGAAAGCATGTGAGTTCCCACCCTTTCCCCTGAGTCGGGTAATTTATAGAGGTTTAAAATTTAAATGATGGTTTATTTGGTGGGAGTTGGGTCAGTTTCTTATTTGCATAATTAAAATATTTGTCCAATCATTTTGTTAACCAAATTGTTAGTTAGGAGCCTAAAATAATCCTGTGAACAACTGATTTCCTCATTATGTTTATTTAAGCTTTAGGTTCAACCCTTAATAAAAATTCTAAGCAGAGGGTGAAAATATACAGGTGGGTTCTTTTTACTGTCTAATTCTTTTTTATATGCAATTAATTGAATTGTGATTCATGCCTAACTTTTCTAAAAACAAGTACATTTCTTTTTGAAAATTTATATGTAAGACGTGATGAGTTGAATAGGTAATAGTACTTAAAGCTCCACAACCAAAGAACAAAGACAGTGCTTATAACTACCAGAGCATTGAAACAGAGTCCTGGCTCTATTATTTCCAAAGGCCTAAAGGTTGGCCCTGGTTCTAAGAAGCCATAGAGTGGGGTGATGCTGAAAGGCAGAGAAAGGAATGTTCATCAAGGTGTCTACTGGCATCAGGGTCCAGGGATCGAGCATGTATACATAAGGTTCCCGGACACTAGCTTTTTGCTTGAATAGAGGAAGACTTGGAGTGTTGAGCAAGAAGTGAGCAGAAGCAAAACAACCCTAGATTCTCCTATGGGTCAGAGCTGCTGAGAAGTTCTTCCTGGGAGATGGACACTCTGACACTAGGAGAGATGTGCAGCTCTCAGCATACAACTCCAGGGCTCCTGATGTATTGGTGCAATGTGATCTTAGTCTGAGTCCTCTTCAGTGGAACATCTGCCTTCGTGGGAGAGGCAGCCTTGGGCAATCCTGCTCGAACAGGGTCTGAGCTGACTACGTGTGGCTGTAGTTGGCCACTTACACACACACATTCTGTGTGTCTGTAGCAGTTATTTAGCTAATCTGACCTGTGGTCCTAGGCACAGAGGAAGTCAGGCATCCAGTTTCATAACTTTCCCAATCTAGAAAGGTTGTTTAGATTTTGGTGTGCAAATCTAAGAGGTGGCGTGGGCTCTGTGTGTTGATGTATGATACTGCGCTTTCCTTCTGTTTTTCCTTTTAGTCTCTGTTACCATTTCTTTCAGTAACTGTGCTCTGCTCTCTTCTCATTCTCTTTTCTCTCTGTTGGCTTGTCTTCGACTCAGCCTTTCTTTTCTTGTTCTTTCATGTTTTCAAATTCGTGCCCTTCTTGTTTTCTTTCCCCCTTTCTTTTTCTATTTACTTCCTCTTTCCTTATCTTTCTTCATCATCTTCCTCATATTTTTTTCTCCTCCTACTTCTTTCAGTGCTGGGAATCAACCTCAGCCTCACATATGGCAGGCAAGTTCTCTGCTACCGAGCTCTGTTCTCAGCCCTTCTATATTATTTTTCTTGTTCCTTGATGTTGAAATGACTGTCAGAGTGATTCAGAAACATTTAGTGCTGCATGTTTTCATTCATAGATGATGAATTTATATTTTTAAGGGAAGATGATCTTTTCATAAATGCTATATCTTACTTTTAATTATTTATTGTATTTTGCTACTATTTGTTTTGACTGTCATTATTTGAGGGACATTATGTGCTGGCTGAGAGCATTTTTAAGCCTGCTTCATAGGCTGCCAGATTTTAGATCCATGCATCACTTTGGAGAAGTTGATGTTATACTCTGGACAAGTTGTTCACCCCTTTTCTGCTTTAATTGCTTATTTCTATTAGCTAAAAACATACTCACTGCATTAAACTCCATGGTATGTTGATTCTAGAAAATGATAGTGCGTGTTTTAAAGAAGGGGTTTTACATGTTCTTATCACAAGAGAATGACATGTGAGGAGGTAGATGTGCTTTCCTGATTTTACATTATAAAGCACCAGCATGCATTGACGCATCACTCATACTGTACAGTTTTATGTATCAAACAGTAAAATAAAAACCCAGTGTGAGTTTATATTGGCAAAAATGGTCCAAATAGTACCTGACCTATGGTGTTTTATAGATCTTGATGGACGCCTTCACAACGTGTTGCCAGGAAAAAAAAAAAATCAAAATATGTGCTTAGAGCAGTGTCTTCTAGACAGAAAGACAGATATTCATGCTTTCCCTCAAGTGAATACCAGTGGTGGAAAAGGAGCTAATGTAAAATTAGAAGATTGGGAACTTAGGAAAGTGGTTGAAAACCTGAGGAGAGGGAGAAGTGGGGTAAAGGAAAGCGTAGGGAAGACGGATGTGATCAATATGGTATGTGTGCATGGAACTGTCACAGTGAATCCCACTAATTTGTATAGTTAGTACTTACAATAATGGCATGAACTCGGTAAGCTACTTCTAAATGCCACTGTTTCCTGGGCCCACTGAATTACACAACAGGGTAAACTGATTGTATTATGCCCCCTTTGTTTACGATCCTTGCAGTTTAATTAATAGACTCCAAATTTCTCATAGCCTTGAAGAAGTGTTAGAAGCCATGACTTCGGCTGGAGAAGAAAGAAAAATTGACAGATTTTTTGCCATTGTGGAAGGCCTTCGGCACAATTCAGTGCAACTGCAAGTAGGTATCATGCTTTAAAAGTCTAATTTTGAGTGATATATCCTGTGTGTTGGTTGGAACTATCTTGTGGTTGAATTTTTTATAAGCATTATATAACTACAAATGCCCTTTTATTTTTTATATTTAATGAATATAAAATTCAAGTTTGTATTTTCATAACATCTTACAGATGTATTGGTGAACACCCATGATTTCTTTCTTAGGTTGATTTTCTAACTGTTAACTTATATCACAATAGTCCAGTGATTGTTCTGTAATTAATTTTAATTTAAGGCATTTTCAGCTACATGAAATATGACTTGTAATTATTGTGGATTTTATAACTGATATTGGGAGTATCTGAAAATAATAGGCTCAAGGTAACAGATCATTCTTGTAATTTTGCCTCCTCACAGCTTTTAACATTTCAATATACAAACACAATAATATGTATTTAATTATTGTTTAAAAGTAGTAAAGCAATGTTATTGTTATCATGAAATTTTTAAGTAACCCTGATAGGCCTTGAACTTGGTGGCAATTCTGGTGCTTCCACCTCCTGAGTTTGGGATCATAGCTTTTCCTGGCTTTCAACTTAAAAATAGGCCTAGCTATGATTTTATTTTGGGGAACTTTAAAAGGCTCCTTCAGTGATTTAACACTACATTGTTTAGATAATAGTATGCTGAATGACATGAAGGAAATATGCATTAAACAATATAAAACAGTTTTTATATAGAAAATATTACAGGTGTTTTATAAAAGAGGCCTATATATGGTGTGGCTCTTGTTGATTTGTTTCTAAGTGTGAAAGGAATAGAAAATCAGTCTTAAAACTTAAAAGCATCAAGTTAAAATTTAATTTTCTAGATGTTATTTCAAGAAAAATCAGAAGATATTTGAATTGTGAGACTAATGGACTTTTCTTGTAATGTCCCATGACATGCTTTTGTAGTCCTGTTGCTGGATTCACTAGACTCATTACTCTTGGGGGCAGGGAGGATTGAAGATCATTAGACAGGATTCCCCTTGACCTTGACTCTTGTCTTGTTGAGGGCGATGAGTTGGGGCTCACCAACATTCTCTTACTGACCACTGCACACTTCACAGGCTGGGCTTGCCTTGTTTGCCTGTGATTCCTGTTCCCTTGCCTTTTTGCTTTCTTCTGCCTCTTTTCCTCCTACTGTCCTGGCCCTTCCTTTCATGCTCTTACTTTTTCTTTTTATCTCTTTTCTAATTCAGTTTGTCTTACTGTTTGCCATCTGATGCCAATTTCAGTGGCTGTTTTACATTTCCTTCCTGTCTAAAGATTAAGACTTAGTGCATTTCAAAAACTGCATGTATTTAAAATTTGAATAATTTTCAGGTAATTAAAAAGTTTTATTTGGGGGTTGGGGATTTAGCTCAGTGGTAGAGCAAGGCCCTGGGTTCAGTCCTTAGCTCTGGGGGGAAAAAAGTTTTATTTGTGTGAAATTCACTTATAATGTCATTTATCTATATAGGGCTTTTGGGAAGGGAGTGTAGGGTCATTTATATATTGAAATGTATACCTCTAGCTGTTAACAATTTTAGTTATTTTCAGTGCTCCTAGATAAAATCTTCTTTAACCATAACTCCTTAATTTTGTCCTTGCTTAATTTTGTCAGAAAGGGTGCTTCCTTTCTGTCTAGACAGATTCACATATCTTAGACATTTCACATTCACTTCGCTCTTTGTACCTAGGTTCTAATTTTTGTTGTTGCTGTTTGCAAGACAGGGTCTCACTATATAGCTGTGGCTCTGGCTCTCCAGGGACTCACTCTGTAGACCAGGCTGGTTTCAAACTCACAGAGATCCTCCAGCCTCTGTATCCCAAATTCTGGAATTAAAGACCTGCATTATTATGCCCAGCGTATGGCTAGATTATCTGCCTTATTTTCAAAGATTTATCCATGTTGGAATGTGTATTACTATCTCTCTATTTTTTTTTTTTGTCATTTAGTGTTTCTATTGCACTGTTAACAAATGATGCTCCTTTGAGCCTTTGTAGAGATGATTAATTTTAAAATTATGACTTATTTGTCTTGTTTATTGATAAGTGATTAGAGGTACAGTAGAACATGGTTTTTTGACAGATGTATCAATCAAATGTTTGATGCAGTTCTTGAGAAGTGTTTGCCAAGGTAGAGATGGCTGCTTACACTTGAATTGGCTTTTAGGAAACTGTTATAGGATGTATGCATGAATGTATATTTTGTTACAGTTATTAGTATTACTAAATTTTTGGTGCTGTCTCTATATTTTGAAATAAGTAATTTGACATAGTCCTTACAGCCTAGTTTTCATCATGAAGTGAGTCATCTTATTATCATCATTTAAATCTGGTTCATTTTATTTTTTTAATACATTCAGAATAATTTTGTACTCTAGAGATTAAAAGTAGATGGTTGAAGGAACTACTCTAAATTCTTGTTTTCCTTATTAAATAATTTTTACTTTCTAGTGCGTTTGTTTGGCACACATGCAGGATGGTGTGTGTGTGTGTGTGTGTGTGTGTGTGTGTGTGTGTGTGCGCGCGCGCCTATGCCTGTGCCTGTCTGCCTATCTTTCTTTTGGTTTGTATGGATCACAGCATATTTCTGGAGGTCAGAAAGTATCTTTCAGTGTCAGTCCTATCCTTGCTTTTCACCTTGTTAGAGATGGGGTTTCTTGTTTTCCACAGCTGTGACAGGCTAGCTGGTCTCTGGGCTTTCAAGGAGTCTTCTGTCTCTGTCTCCCAACTTGATGCAGGAGCACTGGGGTTAGAGATGTGCCATTGTGTGCATCTGTATGTAGGTTCTGGAGATCTGAACTCAGATCCTAATGCTCGCTCAGTAACGGCTTTATCCACTAAGCCATCTCCCTGTAGCCCAGGTTTGACCTGTATCTGTCTACCTATGCATCCATCCATCCATCCGTGTGTGTGTGTGTGTGTGTGTGTATATCCATCCATCCATCCATCCATCCACCCATCTATCATCTTTCATGTAAGCCTTGATGTTTTGGAGGTCTCCATACAGACCATACTGGCCCTGAACTTTCAGAGCTCTACCTGCTTCTGCTTCAGGAGTGCTGGGATTAAGGGTGCATGTTGCCATGCCCAGCAAAGGATTTTACTTCTTGGTTGAGGCTTCTGGTTATTAAATCTAAGGTATAAAGTACTTAACAAATGTCAACCTTAGGAATAAAAGGTGTCATCTTCCACTAAGCCAATTTACTAGCCACATCCTTAAATAAAAACATAAAGCAGATTTAATTTTAAAATCTGAATATTACTGGGTATGCTCTTTCTAACCACACAAATTATAGTAATATAATATAAAACACACTTGTCTCTGACGAATTTCTGAGTTTTCCACAAATAGGACACAGTTTAGAATTACCTAGCTATGTTTTCCCATAAAGCTGTTGTTCTAAGTGCCCACTTTATTCTATTAGCTATGTAATTTGCATTTATTAAAATGAGCTAGTGTGGGTGATAATAGCAAACCACCAAATTAAAAATAAAACTTTTTGCCACCAAAGTACAAAACAATTGTTTCCTTCTAAGTTGGAGAAAATGGAAGTTAATAAAGAATAATGAGGATATTTTATTGATAAGATTATTTCTGATAATGTGTGTCTTAAAGGGAAACTGTTAGGTTTTTATTTGTAGTCTGATCATAAAGATTGTTTCTCTGACTGTGATTATGATAGAATGAAGTATGTTTTTCTCCTTTTGATATCGTCTAGAAAGAAACTACAAACTGTATGCCTGGCATGGTTTAACGATTATCTTTCAGGCCTTAGTTTTATTTTTAGGAAATAGATTAAAAGTAAAAACATTAGACTTGAAGTAAATGTATAATAGTTTCTCATTTCAAATATATCAGAAAGAGCCTTTCAGCTGCAAACAGCCTAATCCATTTAGGACCATTTATGCAGAAAATGAAACTGAGTGTTTTATAGAATTTCTGGAAGGCCTAGGGAGTTTATGTAAGTAACATACCATCCAGTGTAATACAGAAGAGAAATGTCACAGGGAAGTCCCAATAAAAAAAACCACTTCTGGAAAGCAGTGAGTGGACATCTTTCCTGCCATGGCTGCATAGTTTGAGGAATAAAAATAGAAGGCTCATTCCAAATCAATATTCTATTTCTTCATTGAATGGCACTGGAGACTGAGCCCTCTGGAGAAATCTGCTCATTAGTGAGATTGCCAAGCAGAAAGGATAGATATCCAAACCAACAGATGTACAAAGTGCAACAATTAAACACAATAAAAACTAAGTTTAAAATTAAAAAAAAAAAAACCAAAAAACTTCTGATGCTGCTCAAACTGGTACTGGGGATACTTGGGCAGACAAACCTGCCATAGCTCTCTTGGAAGTACCAAATTTCCTGTCACGTTATCCCATCTTCTTCTGTGAATGTCCATTCATGTTGGCCTCCTGTTTCTTTGAGGAAGATTAGAATCAGTATAGATTATCCAGTCTGCGATTCCCACTACCATTTCTTTTTTCCTTTATTCTTTTCTTTGTACCTGGATTTTTGTTATCTTGTTGCCCAAGCTGTACTCGCTGAGGCATCAGAAGCATTATCCAAGAGTGGAGAGTCTGTTGAAATGTTTTCTGTTAATCAGGGCTGACTGATTTTTACGGGTTCAAAGGCTGACTTTTTTTTTTTTTTTTTTTGTGGGTATTTGACTTTTCTTCTTTGTATTTGCCCTCTAGAGTGTATTAAGAGCCTAGTGCAACTCTCCTCCACCCCATGGGATGTGCTCTGATAACTTCATTCTGGACCCATGCCTGGAAATTTGAAAATATAAAAACTGACATAGTTGGTCAACTTAATGGGTGACTAGTTCAAACTCAGAAGGATCCCCTCCCTTTTTCCTTATTGTGTGTGATATATGTGTGTGTGTGCATCTTTGCATTTGTAGGTAAATGTATGCTTGGGTTGTTTCCATTTGTGTGCATACTTGTCGAGGCCTAAAGTTTGATAGATTATCTTTCCTAATCTCT